ATTCAATAACACATAGCAGTAACACATAGCACTGAAAATGTGGAATAAAGAAACAATGGTACATAGCTATCATACATAATGAGATAAAAAAGAGAATATAATAGATGAATGAGAAATGTTACAATGAGTCAGTTAGGTCATTAAATAATTTTAGTTTTAATTTAGATTTGAATATATTTTCAGATCTAGATAGCTTTATTTTATTAGGAAGATTGTTCCACAAATTAGAACCAGAGTAGGCGAAGCTATGTTTTTGGAAAAAGGTTGAATAAGGGAATGGTAAATTGAGACGACGATTTAATTTTATGTTAAAAGAAAATAGATCTGATAAGTAAGAGGGGGCTGTTTCGTGGAATATTTTATATAAGAAAATTGATTTAGTATATATTATCTTTTTATTTAATGGAAGTATTTTAGTTGTAAGAAAAGAATCCATACTACTAGACAAGCCAGTAACCAGTTTTATAGCCCTTTTTTGTAAAGAAAGAAGAGGACGCTGCTTAGATATAAAGCTGCCGCTCCACACTACAGAAGCATAATCCAACCTGGATTGAATAAAAGCCTCATAAAAAACCAGCCTGCTCCTATAGTTGAGAAAGTTCTTTATCCTTGCTAACTGAAAGGTTGTCTTTAATAAGGACATTCTTAGAAAATGAATATGGTCAGACCAAGTGAGGTTGTGATCTATAAACAATCCTAGGCATTTGTAACTGTCTACCTGTTCAATGTTTGAATTGTCTATAGTAATGTTTAATGCGGTGGATGGAAGACGAAGGCGTTTCTGATGAGTTGTAATAAACATTGACTTGGTTTTATCGGGGTGAAGTTTCATTTTGTTAAATTTTGTCCAAGTTGCAAGCTGATTGGCACATGTTTGAAGTTTGTAACTGAGTGACTCAGCACTGTCTGCAAAGACATGCAAAGAAGTATCATCAGCGAACATCTCGCACTGACCAGCGTCAATATGTAATGGAAGATCATTAATGTATAAAGAAAAAAGTAAAGGACCTAAGATTGAGCCCTGTGGAACCCCTATATTAACATATTTCTGTGAAGAGATGGTATTAAGGTGAAACACGCGTTGAGATCGGTTAGATAAAAAGGAGTGAAGTAACCTAACTGTAAAGTCGTGGAATTTGTATGGAATTAGTTTTTTAAGAAGTATGGTGTGATCAATAGAATCAAAGGCTTTTCTGAAATCGACAAACAGCGAGCCACAGAGTAGGTTTTTGTTAATATTTATAAGCCAGTTTTCATTCATCTTAATCAGAGCAGTGTGACAAGAATGAAACTTTCTAAACCCAGACTGATTACTATGGAAAAGCTTGAACTTTTCTAGGTAATATGAAATGCATTTGTTTATATGTATTTCTAGTGGCTTGGAGAGGGAAGAAAGTATAGAAATTGGCCTGTAGTTATTAGCATCTTGGATGTTACCTTTTTTGTGTAGTGGTATAACCTTAGCATGCTTAAAATGTGTCGGGTAATAATGCTTGGCAATACAGAGGTTATAGACATAGGTTAAAACTTCGGAAATTATTGGAGCTGAAATCTTCAATACATTATTAGAAATATCATCAAACGAAGTTGTTGAAGACGGTTTAAGAGATCTTAGGCTAACATAAACTTCATGAACAGTGAGAAGCGGAATGATCAGCTCTGTCCTACCACGGTGAGCAGAATTACAAAAATTTTTAAGCTCCTCACTGATTGTGTAATCAGCATCTGTGTTGAGCGCTACAGATGATATAAAATGATTGTTTAAGTCATCAGCAGATATCTGGCAATGTCCAGCTGTATTACATGTGCGTTTTTTTCTAATTATTTGATTTATAGCAGTCCAGATAGATTTGGAATTAGGTTTGCCTGACAGCAGCTTATTAAAATACTCTTTCTTCGACCTACGCACGAGCAGTTTGACATAATTTCGCTGCCTACAAAAGTCCTCAGAAGTTCCATGACGTTTAAGCCAGTCTCTTTTATTAATTGCAGATTCGATATTGTTGTTAAACCAAGAAGGTTTGTATGTAGTCTTAACTCTTTTAGAGATTTTAGGAATATGTTTATCATATATAGTATAGAAAATACGCAGCCATTCAGAAATGGCAAGATCGGGACAATTATAATTGTATACATTGCAGAAGGGGGCAGCCAATAAATCCGAAAGAAAAAGATTTTCATTAAATTTTCTAAAAGAGCGATAACTTATAGTTATGTGTTGCCGCGAAGGTACACATAATCTTTTTGTCGAAAAAGTACAACAAACAGGGAAGTGGTCACTAACACCACAAGAGGGAACACAGACCTCTATTAGGTTGCAGTCAGGTGATGCGTATATGTGGTCAATTATTGTACTAGATTTATCATTTACCCTGGTAGCCGTGTGCACAAATTGTTTAAGATTCAAAGAATCAATAATATCTTGCCAATATCCTTGAGGTTTTAATAAATTTATATTAAAATCTCCCAATATGATATATTCATTGTTAGTAGATAAAACGGTATCCATCATGGAGCAAAAACGATCATACCAATCCATGTTTTCACAGGGATTTCTATAAAGGAAGCAAATTAAAATTGCCGGATGGTGTTTGCTTTTTTCGAGTTCAATCCAAATACATTCTATATTGTCCGTTGACAGATCCATCCTGTACTTGAAACGAATTGAGGAGTGGACATAGACACAAAGGCCAGTTTCTTTGTGTAAGGATGGGTCTCGGCGTATTAGGTTATAATCAGAGACGGATATCTCAACATCATTTATAAAAGATTGTAATCGAGTTTCAGAGAAACCAAAGATATGGAAAGGATTGTTGGAATTGTTTAAAATTTTTAGAACTTCATGGTGTTTATTAAATATGTGGAAAATATTTAAATGGCCCAATTTTAGCCCACATTGTGAGGGCCAGGATGATGAAAATAGACAATGCATAAAGATAATAAAATATCAATGAATAAGAGATGTTATAAACAAAAATCAATATAATGAACTAATTAAACAGAATCAATATAATTGTCTTACAATTACACGCTTTGTCATCCAATAAACAAACACTCGCTGCTCTTCACACTGCCTTCACTATAATTAAAATAGTACAGTGAGCTAAACTAGTAAATAGTAAGTGAAAAAAGTTAGGTTCCGGGAAGGCGCTTAAGCGACAACATTAGAGCTTGATGAAGCAACAAAGGGCTAAAGCCCATTAAGTGATGTAAGCCTGGGCTAGAGTTCAATTGATCTGAAGATATTGTTGGAAGCAAATCAACAGTCGAAACCAAATCAGACGTTGTACCTTTTACGTTTGAAAGTTGCACATGGTCTTTATCTGTTAAGCTGACGGCTCTTTGGGGATACTTTATATTTTTAGCAAGAATGCTGCTTCCAATTTTAGTCAAATGAATACTGTCACTGTACAAGCGTTGTCTCGGGGCTCCTGACTTCGCAGTGAAAAAAGGTGTATTGTTTATAAAACAGTATTTATAACTAATGCAGAAAGATTGTAAAAATCTATTATTTATATCTATCAACTGCCTACCCTTGCCCCGACATGGGGGTACGATGGATGAAAATCGGATTGTTGCGTTGGGAAATTTGTGAGTGATACTTCTCACAATGTCTAGCATATTAGCTTGTGACAGCCTGACGTTTGATAGACTGTCGTTGACACCACAATGTAAGGTTACAGTTGTGGTATTAGAGTCACGTGATCGGCTACTAATAATGTCCCTAATTTTTTCAAAATTTGCCCCAGGCAGCGCTATTACCGATACACGCTCGTAATGATCCGTGGCCATTATATCAGGATGGAGACCTTTAAGTGTAGAGTCACCAAGGATCAAATGGTGTTTCGTTGTTAGGTTGGTGTAGGGGGCGGCGACATGTTGTGTGCTATCTCTATTAGTGGCATAGTGAGTAGAGCGTTGGACAACAGGGACATGAACAGCCTTGACCGTTGGGACGCTGTATTGTGTAGAATTGCTTTTAGTTCGTGGTCGTTGCAGGGTGCTGGGACTCGAATGTTCCGATGGTTTGATTCGCGCTCTGTCATCACGTTGCGTAATTTTAACAGGGATTGGGAACGGAGCTTCTTGCATGATGCCTGCCGATGTGATTTTTGTATCATTTATTAGTTGTTGTTGATTATCCTCACATGTTGAGGTGGATATTGTGCTGCAAGAGGGATTCTTGGTTGTGAGGAGTTTCTTTAGTGACGCAGAAATATTTTCTTGATCAATCAAACGTTTCTTAAGGTTAACGTGTATATCTTTGCAGCTATGCACTTCATTAGATAGTCTCTTGACTTCATCCCTTAAGACAGCGTTTTCGACTCGGAGTTGTTCTAGTTGGCTGTTAAACAGCAATTTCTCCGCTTTAAAAGCTTTTTTAACACAGGTGATCTCGTTAAGAATAAACGATCTTAAGTTATTATCCAGTTGTGTGGTTTGAAGAAATATTTTTGGACTAAGCAAATCAGTTGGTTGAGATAGGTTTGATGAAAATGTATAGTTATTTATAGGTGTTACACAATCTAACGGATTGGTATTGATCGTATCCTCTGCACATTGATTGTCACTGTTGGAAGCAGACATAATCATGGGCGGTGAAATGGGTAGCTCCAATACTCTGGGTGGGGACAGTGAAGGTGGTGGTGACAGTGATAGTGGCGGCGACATGGGTAGAGGCATGTCGACAGCTTTGTCTGTTGTAATTAGGTTATTTAGAATACAGCAAAATTCCGAATCCACCCAAACAGACACAACGTTAGATTTTCCCTGTACCATAATTTTGTTATTCGTGTGGTACAGATGGACAGATAGCCCTGGTAATTTATAAATATCTTCAACATTGGCGCCATCATCATCCCTTCTTTCCTCAACAACACCAGCATATTTAGTTTTGAAGATTCTTTTTACTTTTTCATAGCTAATTGAGTTTCTAAAGGCAACGATAACGCATTGTCCTCCATCTTTCTTTTGAAATCACACGATGTACGTCCAAACAGGAACTATCACGCCGGCATCAGGTATGACGAGAAAGTCCAGTCCAGACCAGTTCCAGAGTCCAAGACAGGCCTGAATCTTGACGTCATCATGATAGGGCTGGACTCGACGTCACGGCTGGCGTGGAGGAGACACTTGCCCCTGACCAGGGACTACTTCACGAGTACTCTAGGTGGAGTAGAGTTAGAGGTGAGCTTAAAATGGGGGGCTGGGGGAGGGGGGGGAGGGCAGGAGTGAGATTAGGGGGCGGGGGTTCTAAATTTTGGCGTTGAGGGTAAGCTAGCATTAGTATTTTAATTCAGATATTTTAGTTACACAGTCTCATTTAAAACAATGCTATAAACTCGTCGTTTTTGAAAATCTCCAAGTTCTCATACCAACAACGTAAAATACGCATCCACACATCCTTAAGGCTATAGTCAGCTTAGAAACAGAAAACAGTCTACGACTGGTTTTGATTTATCGTTTACCATAAACATAAAGCAGTTTCCGTGGTTTATTTATTTTTGCTAAATTTTAAAACAATGTCAGAGAGGAGTAGAGTTTCTTTTAAGCATCTCATAGACTTTAGACGATCCCCGAACGTTAACAAAGCGTTAACAACCCTAACTTTTCTAAGTAAAAGAAACACAACAGCTCTACTTCATCTATTCAACCGAGGTTTATGTGATTTGACAAATAGCGAGAAGGCAAATACGCTATCTAAATACGAAGACACAAATGCTGTGACTACGATTTTCGCTGTGTAAACATTGTTAATCACTTTGTTAATGGAAGATATATAGAATGACGGGGAGATGTCCAGTAGTCCCACACTGCAGACGCCCTTAAGCCTGGGGCGAACCCCCCCCCCCCCCCCCCCCCCCTCTGTATGCGCCACTGACGAATGTCGGACTGTAGTTTACAGAGAACAACCGCTGGCTGTTTCTTATTTAGAAACCTTTTCACGTTTTCCCCAGGGCTACAATATTTTGGGAGACGGCACCCCAGCCGCCATTATGCCGATATTGATTGGCAAAAGGGAGGAGGAGTTGCCGGAAGCAAGGAGAGGCTACTCTGGTGCCAAGCCGGTGGATAGCTTCCCCTGGATCTGGAAGGAGTTTAGGGACGCGGGGTACGCTGTTGCATGGGGGGAGGATGATGCTCATCTTGGGACCTTTCAGTACAGGTTGCTAGGTAAGTGAAGTGTGTCCAGTGTTTCTTCCTTCCAGACTTTTTTATCCGGGGGGGGGGGGGGGGGAAAGGAGGGCACTGTTAAAAGTATATATTTTCTATATAAATTAATTGTTTTTTTTTTGGGGGGGGGGCACTTGAAATTTCCGGGGGGGGGGGGCACTGTTAAAAGTATATATTTTCTATATAAATTAATTGTTTTGGGGGGTGGGCTGGGTTGCGGTAGACTTTCTTCGCCCCCCCCCCCCCCAACCAAGAGATGCCTTGAAGAAACACTGAGTGTATCAGTGACAATAGGCTAGGTGTGTCAGTGACAGTTGGCTAGGTGTTTCGGTGACAAAAATATGAGATCACAAGACTTAAACTGCCCACCAGCTAACCAGAGAAAAATTCCACTGTAATTGATCACTACTAATTATTGAAAGTGTTAATTATGTAACTGACCTTCAGCCCTCTCCGTCAATTAAATGTGCACTACTTGTGTTGTACATTATCGGCCATCACACCTGCTTGTTGGGATAACCTTGTTTTGTCAGTTAATTATAATAATTAACCTCTTAAATTACAAAAGCCACCGAGTCTTATTTCTTCTACAAGCATGAAGGTGACCTCCCTTTGTGGACCCGTACAATCAGAGTTGTTCGCCTTGTGTCCTTGGTTCTTATGTAAACAATTTACGAAGCGGCGAAGTACTTTTTCTTTTTCTATTATTATTGGTGCCCTAACTTAACTATGACTCAAACCTAAATGTGTACCTTTTCCAAACCTTAATGTAGACTAATCCTTAATCTAGACCCGAAACACTTCCTCAAAGCTTTGTATTAAAAACACATTCATCTCTGGGGCAGTGTTTCTTCCAGAGTGGGGGGGGGGGGGGGGGTGGACTATATTTTCCGGGAGGGGATACTGGTGGAAATGTATATTTATGTATATTTTCTATATAAATTCCATTTCGTTCGGGGGGGGGGGGGGGCTGTAGACTTTCTTTAGGGGGGGGGGAGGAGGAGGTCGGCGAACCCCCCTCCGATGAGATGCCTGGAAGAAACCCTGCTCTGGGGGGGGGGGGGGGTGCACAGTGCACTAGAAACTTCAAGGGGGGGGGGGCATTCATAAATTTCAGAGAGGGGGCTATGATTACAATATACATTTTATACCAGAATTTCTTCCAGGTATTTCTTCGGGGAGGGGGGGGGGTCCGTCCCCCCACCCCCGAAGAAAGTCTACCGCCCCCCCCTCCCCCGTACGAGATGGAATTTTATATAGCAAACATATAAATGTTGACCGCCCCCCCCCCCCCCCCCCAGGTCGGCGTGGTCGAGTCGGTAAAGCTCATGATTGCTAAACCGAAAAGTCTCGAGTTCGAACCCTCGGGCAGATGAGGCTCGTTAGCTGGGGACAGCCACTCTTCTAGGAGAGACAATTCCAAAATCAAACAACTGCTGCCTTGTAGAAGCAAATCCAAAAAGAAAAGCAGGCTAAAATCGGAGTCAATGGCTTCAACCAGTTGACACGTATCCTTAATTGTGATGGAGGCGTGGTCGAGTCGGCAAAAGCTCATGGTTGATAAATTGGAAAATGTCTCGAGTTTGAACCCTCTGGCAGATAAGGCTCGATTCCTTCCAACACCAAAAATTAATAACGAAGAAGACCGCCCCCCAATGTCTGAAAGAAATTGCACTCACTCGATTATTAGTAAACATAATTGTCCTGGCATCATTTCTAAGAGAGCCGTATAGAGTTAACTGCTAAATATAGAGCGACACACACCAGATGCTTGAAACTGTCGCAATACCAGGATGTAAACACAAAGGGGAGATAAACAACAAAGGTCAAGGATCTAACAGGAGGAACACACCTTGACTCACACTACATCTGCGTTGAAAATGGACTGTTAGATAGAGAGAGGTCGTGTACATATTTTTGACCCATTTTAATTTCACTTAATGTCATATGAACCAAATAAAAGGAGAGAAAAAAAATAGAGTCTAGTAGGAAAAAGATCAGTCTGTTTAGTACTATTCTGCTTAGTAATTAAATACATCTTTCCAATTCTATTATTTGAAGAAATTTCATTGTTTTGATTTTTAAAAAAAAAAACATTTTGCGATTATCAATTGAAAACGAAATAGTTTGCTTTCAAAAATGAAATATACTATATTGAACTGTTGATAATTTTATTTGAATTAACCTCCGAAAAAGGCGCTTCTATCATGAAAATGATCCTAGGTGGTGCGACCGCTCCCCCCTCCCCAGGCTCCCACGTACACTGGAGTGGTATCTACGTAGACACCAGCAGTTGTATTAAATAGCTGGAACAAAGCCATACCCCCCCCCCAATTTGTAAATACATTATAACACATTTATAGACTAACCCCCATTCTCCTCTTGTTATGAAATATGTCGAATTATCTTTACACAACTTAATTAATCACTTTGACGGAAACATTTATTTTACTAAAAAAAGAATTTAAGTAACTTAAATTTTAAAATAATTTTTTAAAGTTTTGGTCTGTAAGAGATATTCTAGAGTAGGGGAGACAATAAATAAAATAAGCAGAAAAATGTAATAAAATAACAGTGAGCTCCCTTTGTTTTGTGTACTCTAAGCACTCTATTGAAACTCTCTTTTCTCTTCCAGGCTTCAGTGAACAGCCCACGGACCACTACTACCGCTATTTTAGCCTGGCCCTAGAGCCACATTACAAAGATAACAAACCATTCTGCGTGGGTTCCCGGCCCAGGCATCTAGTCCTCCAGGACTACATGAGAGAAATGTATTACATGTACCCCAACAGGAGGAAGTGGATTTTTTCCTTCCAGAGCGAGTTGTCCCACCAAGACAACAACAACCTCTCTAAGGTGAGGAAAACAAAATACTTAAGAATAGGCTAGGCCTATATATTTAGTAGGCCTATACTATACGAGAAAAATGGCCCGTTGAGGAAGGATACACCGGGCGCTAGGTTGATAGTGCTGTCTCTTTTCTCTAAACTAAAACCAACCCATCCCCCCCACACACCTACCCCCAACCCCCAACCCCACCCCCCACCCACCCCACACACCCCACCCCCACCCCCACCCCAGCCCCACCCACCCACCCCCACCCACACCCCCCAAAAAAACATGTCTACCGTCCCATTCAACGAAATATAATTATATACTTTTTCCAGTGTCCGCCCCCTCCCAGAAAATTCTACCCCCGCCCCCGAAAATTTCAAGTACCCCCACCCCTCTCCGGGGAAGAAAAAGTCTGAAAGAAACACTGAAACCAACCCACCCCCCACACCCCCCCCACCCCCCCCACACACCACCCCCCACCCCCACACCCCCCACCCCCCCCACACACCACCCCCCCACCCCTCCACCACCCCCCACCCCCAAAAAAAAAACATGTCTACCGTCCCATTCAACGAAATATAATTATATACTTTTTCCAGTGTCCGCCCCCTCCCAGAAAATTCTACCCCCGCCCCCGAAAATTTCAAGTACCCCCACCCCTCTCCGGGGAGGAAAAAGTCTGAAAGAAACACTGAAACCAACCCACCCCCCACACACCACCCCCACCCCCCCCCACCCCCACACACCACCCCCCCCCACACACCCCCCCCCACCCCTCCACCCCCCCCCCCCCCCAAAAAAAAAAACATGTCTACATGTCATTGCAAGAAAACCACTTTTTAGATTAGACACATTAATTAGGCGGTAATTTTATTATAGAGTATCGATGAAGAAATTTCTTTTGAGTTAGGGAGGGGGGGGGGGCTCAGACGTTCTTACGCGGGGGGTGGGGCTTCGCCCCTACCCGAAGAATTATATGCAAGAAACTCTTCACGCAAACCATTTAGATTAGACAAAATTTCCTTTTTTTCAATGTTTACGCGATAATCAATGACGTCATATTTGTGTGTGCACTCTCTGGTTTGAGATTATGTTCTAGGCCTACTCTATGCTAAATGTGTCGACGTCATATTTCGTTTTTCGAATTACTGTGCATGTTTTTATTTTGCTTGTGTTTTCTCTAGAGCGTTCTTGTCAGACAGAGCGTTCTTGTCAGACAGAGCGTTCTTGACAGACAGCGAAACTATTAGTATTAATAGTAGATCTAATATGTTGGCCTATATTTTATTTTATTTTTATTATAATTTTATTTATTGTCTTGAAATTGTTAGGTTATGCCCCTGCCCTAGAATAGATTAAATCTACTAATCTACCTAGATTCTATATTCAACAAGTGGTAGACTAATTAATAAATTGTAAAAAAAAAGTCTATACTATAGACTATAGACTCTATCTATACCAGGGGTTCCCAACCTTTTTTTACTCTAGAGCACATTCTAAAATATCGATTTGCACCCCCCCTCAAACTTTCGATTTGCACCCCCCCCCCCACCCCCCCCCCCCCCCCCCCGCCCCTCAAACTTTCGATTTCCATCCCCTTCAACCTTTCAATAATGTTTATGAAAAAATTCTGTCTCTGTCGAATAGTGAGAGGCGGGTACATACGAATCGTTCTGCGGGCGCCATGGGGCACGGGGTTGGGAACCCCTGGTCTATAGTATAGTCTATAACTATGACTATAAGTATATTAGTATAGAATCTATAAAGTAGTTAGTCTAACTAAATTAACTATTAGATTGTATAGTACCTATATTTTAAAATTTATCAATACTTGTCTTTAGATGGATGATGATTTTTATGAGCACATCAAGAGACTGCATGAGGAAGGTTTTCTGGACAATGCTATTCTGATAATGATGGCTGACCACGGGGCAAGATTCAGCAAAGTAAGAGCCACTGCACAGGGCAAACAAGAAGAGAGGCTGCCTTATTTTGGCATCAGGTCAGTCAGAAGCTTTAGAACACGCAGCAAACCTCCTTTCAGAACACCCTGAATCACCGAATAGTCAGATTGTATTCCTTACAGATGCCAATTCAGTCCTGCAATCCCTACAAAATCCAGAGTCCTATATTCAAACACTTAAGACAGCACTAGAGAGGCTAAAAAATACCTGCAGCAGAATTGTGCTGCAGTGGATCCCGGGCCACTGCCAGATCCAGGGTAACGAGATCGCAGACCAGCTGGCAAAAATTGGGGGAAAGAAACCACAACCGGAAATTTCGCTACACCCAAAAGAAATAAAAAGAATTATAAAAAACAAACAAACGCAAATGTGGTCTGTCACACACCCTCACTACATTAAAGACGACGGCTATTATAATTTAACACGAAAACAACAATAAACAATCTTTCGACTTAGAACAGGCCACAACAGACTAAATCAACACATGCACAGAAAACTGAAGGTTGGGTGTAGCGAAATGTGCCCTTGTGGCAAGGCCCCTGAAAACACGGAGCACGTACTCCAGGAATGCACTTTGTATAGCCAGGCACGAGACAGACACTGGCCCCAGCCCACCCCACTAAGGGAAAAATTATATGGGGCACCTGACAAACTGGAGACCACAGTCCGGTTTGTCCACCAAGTTGGACTTGTTGTCTGAATCCTCCACCATATTCACAATTAAGAACGAAGAAGAAGAAGAAGAAGTCAGCTAAACAATTATCAAAGAAACTATTGGTTTAAAACATCTAAACACTGAAAATGAGCCATTTCTTTTATTTAATAACAAGACATTTTTTTTTTTAATCACAAGAGATGAATATTAAATTTTCTATTTCTACTTTTGAAGTTAATTTCATTTACTGCTATGATAATACAATGAAATATAAATGGATTCATTAGTCAAGCCTGATAATAATTTAGTAGATAATTTATCTATGCTCAGATTGCTTGACCTTACCCAAATTTATTCAAATACCTATTAGAGATGGATGGACGTAAATCTTTTCGACAGGAATTGAACTTAATGCTTTTGAGTTAGCATTATATTATTCCACCCACCTTACCCATACCCCCATCCCAAATGTGCATTAGCCATATGTAATTATTAATGTTAGTCCTATTAATTTTGTATATGTAGCTCTGTGACAAATGATTTGTTCTAGCATTTATTCCTGGTAGCTATAGAAGCTGTAAATGAGTTCTAGTCTACCATACATAAAGCCTAAACTTCTTTTTTTTTACTTAATAAATCATCTAAGATTGGCATAAACATTTGTGTATCTTAACTGGGTAGCATAACCCAGGTCTATGTAATGGGTAGATAACTATTTTATCAATACTCAAACCCAAAGATTGAAACTGTAATCACATTATATTTTTCCAAATTCTTTCACAGATTTCCTGAGTGGTTTAAAAAGAAATATCCTGAAATCATCCAGAATGTGTTGAAAAATTCCAAACGGTTAACTACCCCTTTTGATATACATGAAACGTTCCATGACATTTTGAATTTCACTGGGACTGGACCAGCTGATATTAGCAAGAGGGGTGTCAGCTTATTTAAAGAGATCCCACCAAATAGAGATTGCAGCTCGTAAGTTCTATTTTTGTATGCCTTTTTTTTTTAATGCTATAAATATTTTTGTTCATAATGAAGCAACATTATCTTTAGGTGAACAACATTCTGTTCTTTAATTTAAAAAAAAGCGTATGCTTTATTCACTAGAAGTCATATGATGTTAGCTTCATATAATTTTTAAATTGTAAAAGTTAAACCTATTATGCAGTTGTAGAACTGTTTTTGTATTGAATAGTGCACTGGGTTAAGTTCAAGTTTTTACCACATAGAAGTGATTTGTGGTTACTTTTATTAATGGGTCTTTTTCCAAATGTCCGAATTTTGTACATTAATTTTGAAAATTCAGTTAGTATTTAACTACCTTACAATTAATGAAAATATTTATACCACTTATTACCTCTAATTATATTTTGAGAAGAAAAAACTGAATTTTCCTAACACTTGCTAGTAAAAAAATAAGCAAGGTAATGGAGTTGAATTTAACATTGCCATGAAATAATTGAGCAGGGCTGAAGTTGACCCCCACTGGTGTGCTTGTATGGAGTGGGTGGACTTGAATATGAAAGACCCAATCCTAGACAGGCTGACAGAGAAGATTCTGGAGACATTCAACAACTACACCGAGCCTCATAGAGATCTGTGCGCTAAGTTGAGCATTGACAAGCTCATCTCTGCCAAGGCTCTGAAAGTGATGGATGCTGTTCTCAAGTTCAAGGACACCAGTGATGGAGGTAGAGGGCGCTTTGGGAAGATGGATGACACTACACAGCACACTTCAATTCTTTATCAGGTAATTTAATTTTACTCAGGCAGTTACCCATTAATTGCTCATTAATTGACCATTAGTTGACCATTAATTACCCATTAGAAGTAGGACTATTCTAAGAGAAAGTTTTATTTCAGTTGCCATTGAATATGTATGGATTGTGCTACCATATAATAATTTATAAAAAAGATTTAATGAATCCAGTGTCAAGCCATCTACCAGATCATGTATTATAAGATACAGGAAACTCTGCCAATTGAAATTGCTTGATAATTTACATATCAGTGTTCAATTGTTTTATTAGTTTTGCTCATCAATGTGAAAGATTTATAAAATTCATTTATGTACCAAAAATTTAAATAGTTAAATTTTATTGATATCAGTAGTCCCTATTTAAGCAATTTTCAGATTTACCTAGATTCTAAATTGATCTCATTAAAATGTTTCCAGTTTTAATTATACTATGTATCAATCAGAATTGATAATTTAAAGTAGATATTTTTTTAATACAATTTTTAAATCTTCTCGATTTGTAAAGAATTCATAGCTTTGATGTTTTATTATTATCAAAATCTAATGTTTTAAACTTTAGTGTTTTTAGATTATTCAGTATTATCATAATCTAATGTTCTAAACTTTAATGTTTTCAGATAATTCATTATTATCAAAATCTAATGTTCTAAACTTTAATATTTTCAGATAATTCATTATTATCAAAATCTAATGTTCTAAACTTTAATGTTTTCAAATGATTCATTATCAAAATCTAATGTTCTAAACTTTAATGTTTTCAAATGATTCATTAGGGGGTCGGCGTGGTCGAGTCGGTAAAGCTCATGGTTGCTAAACCGAAAAGCCACGAGTTCGAACCCTCGGGCAGATGAGGCTCGTTAGCTGGGGACAGCCACTCTTCTAGGAGAGATAACTCCAAAATTAAACAACTGCTGCCTTGTAGTTTGTTCTTGGTTGGACAAAGGCTATGGAAGCAAATCCAAAAAGAAAAGCAGGCTGAAATCGGAGTCAATGGCCTCAATGGCGCATAACCAATTGACACGTAACGCTTAATTGTGTTGGAGGCGTGGTCGAGTCGGCAAAAAAGCTCATGGTTGATAAATCGAACAAAGTCTCGAATTCAAACCCACTGGCAGATAAATCTCGATCCCCTTCAACACTAATAATTAAGAACGAAGAAGAAGAAAAGAAATGATTCATTATTATCAAAATCTAATGTTCTAAACTTTAATATTTTCAGATAATTCATTATCAAAATCTAATGTTCTAAACTTTAATGTTTTCAGATAATTCATTATTATCAAAATCTAATGTTCTAAACTTTAATGTTTTCAAATGATTCATTATTAAAATCTAATGTTCTAAACTTTAATGTTTTCAAATGATTCATTATCAAAATCTAATGTTCTAAACTTTAATATTTACAGATAATTTTCCAGACGACCCCAGGTGCTGGTTTGTTTGAGGTGACCTTGACCCACAGGTTGAAAGAAGACCAGATTATTCTAGAGAAAAAAGATGTGAGCAGGGCCAACAAGTACGGCAATGCAGCCGCCTGCATTGAAACACAAGATGCATTCTTACGACCTTACTGTTACTGTAAAAGTACTTAACTAATTTGAGTGATACACTTGTGGAGAAAAATGAAGTACTATAAAGGCAAAAACTGATGTGTGTTTAGATTTAAACCATCTAATTTTAAACTGACAATAGTTAAGGTTAGAATGAGGAATGGTTAATCAAGTTGGATTATAATCCTTATTCATCCAAGAGAAATCCACCGTCTAAAATTGATGTCATATAAAAGTGCCAAGACGCAATCCGGACTGATTGCTTGATGTAAAATATGCTTTGTGTGACTGATTGTTTATGTTGGGGGTCATACTTAATTGACGCCACCCTCCAGCAGGGGTGGGTGGGAGGGAATGTAGGACTTTAAAGATTAAGTTTGGGGGGTGGGGGTTGATTTAGAAAATGTGGTTTTACATTTTCATTAAAAAAAATTAGTAAAAAAATTAAATTTAATTTTTAGCAATTAATTTCATATATTTCAAGACCTGTTTCATAAATTGTAATAATGAATAGGTCAGTACACCTTACATTGACACCAGTGTGTATTTAATAGAGACATCTCTGATTCACAGAGAAATTGCAATCTGGTTGGTGGGTTAGGTAGGATATGTAATTGTGGGTTTTTTTTTGGGGAGTGGTTGACTTTTTAAGTGACAAAAAAAAGCTTGATGTGTTTTATCGATGACCCTGTATTAAATGGCATACATGTGCTAACTTATGCTTCCGGTAGTAAAAGGCGTACACGTGTTAGCTTATGCTTCCAGCATACAACAGCATTAAATAAACTTTTGTTCTCGCTAGTGTTACTGGTCTTAAAAGGTAACGGTCGAAATCAGGGTACAAATGTCTTGTTCATTGTAGTATTTGTAGCCTTTACTTTTTAGGTTACTGTTGTGTTCTAAGTATATATGTCACCTCTAAGTGAGCCATCACCTGTTGAACTGTCTTCATGTTGATTTTAGCCACTATTGGGTTACCACTGTGTTCTGGAATCTGTTCTCAGTTGGATTTGGACATTTACCCCCACCCCCCCCCCCCCCCATAACCCTCCGGTCAATAAACCAACCCCCTAGTCAACTATCCCCCACTGTTATCAATTTCCCCCTCCCCCACCCCCCATGAATACCAATACAGGCTACTGCTACTATTGAGCTTGTGGGAAACCCAGTGTTTTATTTATATTTCCCAATCTCAAACTTTTAACTTCATTTTAGGTTGATGGTCAATTAGCTATTGACAAGAAGGTGTGGTCCTACTGCAGTTTTTTTTTGGGCTGGGGGTGATGTACTAGATGGTTATCTCCCTGGGGGTGGGGGGGGGGGCGCGAGGGTAATGTCCTCCATCCAGTTAAAAATTGTAGGCTCTGACAGAGCCCTGTCTTAACGAACCTGTCCTCATTTTATGTACAGTGTGAAAGAATAGTTTTTTATATATAGGCCTGCTTATATTTAGTTACGTTTAGATTTGTGTAGGCTAAAAATTTGTTCATGTGAACCCATTTTTTTTTCTTCCTGAGCTTATGTAGTTGTAAACCTATATTGATATTAGACTATTGGTGTAAGCCTATGTTTATGTAAACAAAAGTTGATGTTAAAGTTTATAGCTGACTTTTGTTAAACTATTTTTATTTAAACACATATTAGTTTATGTCTATGTTGATGTAAGCCAAAGTAGACATAAAAACCTATGTTCAAATAAACCAATGCTTATGTAGGCCTATGTTAATATAAATTTATGATTGTGTAGGCATATGTTAAGTTAAACCTATGTTTATGTAAAAACTATGCTTATGTAAAGCCTTTGTTTAAAACCTATGTTTATGTAAAGCCTATGTTTATGTGAAACCTATATGTTGGTGAAATCCTATGTGTAACATAGACTTAAATAAAACTTTTAAAATTTAATTGAAATCCTAGTAAGAAAAAAACCATTATGAACTACAACCACAAAACCCAATATATCACTCATCACTACACATTGATTAATATTTGTCTTTCATTAAGCTTAAATAATTTGACACCATGTACCCATGCTTCCATTTTATTGTTCCATTATAATATGCCAAGGAGGTTATCCTTCATATTTTTTATTGTTTAGCAGTTATTTGTTGAAATTTACCATTTTTGTTTCAGTATTATTTATTCTGTTTGCTTTCAAATATGTGTAGTTTTTTTTAAAAATTCAGCTGGAATAAAAGCCAGTTTTTCTTCCAGACTGTTTTCTCTGGGGGGGGGGGGGGGGGGGGCTTTTGAAATTATTTTTTTTGGGGGGAGAGGGGGGGGTCAACATTTATCGGGGGGGGGGGGGGTGGACACTAGTAAAAGTGTATGTTTACTATATAAAACCCATCTCGTTCGGGGGGGGGGGGGGGGACGGTAGACATTCGTTGGGGGGGGGGGGGAGAGATGCCTGGAAGAAACTCTGATGAAAGCTAATGTACGAATGTGTTTACCATGACTCTAAGCTGTACATTCTACTTAACGAGGTTGTGTTGAATATGGTGGAAGACAGACACTATAGAAAGGTGAAGCTGAAACTATATTTTTTGTTACGATCATGGTTAAACAGTGGTGAAAATGTTATTTGAAATTTTTGTATGGCTGCTTACATTTTACTATTTAGCTAATTGAATTTCAGTAATAAATATTAATAATTTGTTTGAAGTAACAATATCATCCCAGGGTACAATCAAATTTACTTGTTGCGATTTTTTAATAGTACTGTGATGTACTAAATTGCGAAGTATCTACACATGAGAATTTGGTGTTTTTCAGTAGTGACACAACCACCTTTGTCTTGTGAGACCAATAGCTTGTGTTATCATTTTATTTTGTATTCGAAAAATAGCTTGTTTTATCATTTCATGTTTGTTATCTACACTCTCTACTCCCAAATATTTTACCCCCTTTGTTTTTCCATCTGAAACTGTATAGAGCAGTTGTCTATAGAAGACTAACCACCAGCATTTAAGTATTTTTACTCCCCCACCCCCTTACCCCATTCTACCAAGGAAAATGCTGGTTTCTCCAAGGTATCTACACACCTTATATTATTATGTTATGCTACATTAACATGTATGCAACTAAAAATGTACAATATTGATTACCCTTTATGGGTTTATTTACTTCCTAAATGTTTTGGCTTTGATTTGCCTTGAAGCAATTTTTCTTTTTCAGCCCTTGTTTAAAGGATGCGTCATAACTTTGACTCACCCCCCACTTCCTATCTCTACAAGTTTATGATGTGATCATCCAATGTGTGAATATTCAACACAGTGTGTCCACTCTCTGTGGCCATGTCTGCTCTAACTGCATTCTCCATACCAAAGATTAAAACTGCATCATAGAACTAGTGTCTTGTAGCTTTTTCTGGTAAAACATCACAACTGCACATCATAAAATTATCTTGTAGCTTTCTCTAGTAAAACATAACAACGATGCATAAAATTGTCTTGTAGCTTTTCTCTAGTAAAACATCACAACTGCACATAAAATTGTCTTGTAGCTTTCTCTAGTGAAACATCACAACTGCACATCATGAAATTGTCTTGTAGCTTTCTCTAGTGAAACATCACAACTGCGCATCATAAAATTATCTTTGCGCATCATAAAATTATCTTGTAGCTTTCTTTAGTAAATCATAACAATGATGCATACAATTGTCTTGTAGCTTTTCTCTTGTAAAACATCACTAATGTTTTTGTAGCCTCCTCTATTAAAACACCATTTTTAAGCTCTCTGCTTTCAGTAGTTTCAGCCATTGTGTCCCTTCAAGCTAGTCAGTCCATTAAGATCGTTCTCAAATTGTTTACTTTTTTCTTTAGTAACATTATCAACTAATTTGATATTGTTGTCATTTTGTTTTATTCTCGTCCACATTGTTTCCAACTAGTTTCAAATTGTTTACACTTTGTTTAAAATCATTTTACCTAAAACTCCATTCCTTGTGCACCATTGTGATGATTTATGTTGCTAATTTAAAGTTCACTTAATTAGGAGGTGTTGTAAAATATATAACTGCTGTTGAGCTTATTTATAAATTGTTTCTTTTTTTACATGTTCTTTTGTAAACATACACATATCTTTTTGTTTTTTTATTTTTTACACGTGGAATAAGTATTGTCACTGTGTTTTGGTTTGATATTGATGGTTAACTCTTAAGTTAAAAAAAAAGACTAAATCAACTAAATGTTAGTGTTTTTTTATTAACAATAATTTTTAAAAATTTAACGGAAAATCTTAGTGCTCAATCTAATTCCTACCATATTGCTTGATAATTTTTAAAGTGGAAATTTTTAGAAGGTTTTGTTGGGAACTACCAAGATTTTTTTTTACCCCATGGCCTTTAAATTTCATCTCTTGAACATAACATTATTGGATTATAATTAACACAAAAGTAATTTCTTTATTCTTTGTTTTTTTTTAAACCAACTGTATTTAAAAAAAAAATACATATTTGACTCTTAAAATCGCTTCAGACAAATGATTTTTTTCTTTATATTTTGAATTCAATAATATCCATGACATTCAATGATTCCTACCACTGAAAATAAACCTTTAAGATTATTTTACAGAATGCCTATATTGAAAGATAATTGTGTGTAGGGTGTATTCATAGTTAATTTTTGTAAGTATCTTTAACTTCCTCGATATCTCGTTTCCCTTATCTAGACCATATCCCTATTAATAACCGACATTTAATACTGAACTCATCTCAAATCTTGATCCTTTCTCAAATGTTGACCTTATCTCTGGCCCTATCCCTAATCCTGATCTTGTCTCTATCCCTAATCCTGATCTTGTCTGTATCCCTAATCCTGATCTTGTCTCTATCCCTAATCCTGATCTTGTCTCTATCCCTAATCCTGATCTTGTCTCTATCCCTAATCCTGATCTTGTCTCTATCCCTAATCCTGATCTTGTCTGTATCCCTAATCCTGATCTTGTCTCTATCCCTAATCCTGATCTTGTCTGTATCCCTAATCCTGATCTTGTCTCTATCCCTAATCCTGATCTTGTCTGTATCCCTAATCCTGATCTTGTCTCTATCCCTAATCCTGATCTTGTCTCTATCTCTGGCCCTATCCCTAATCCTGATCTTGTCTCTATCCCTAATCCTGATCTTGTCTGTATCCCTAATCCTGATCTTGTCTCTATCCCTAATCCTGATCTTGTCTCTATCCCTAATCCTGATCTTGTCTCTATCCCTAATCCTGATCTTGTCTCTATCCCTAATCCTGATCTTGTCTCTATCCCTAATCCTGATCTTGTCTCTATCCCTAATCCTGATCTTGTCTCTATCCCTAATCCTGATCTTGTCTCTATCCCTAATCCTGATCTTGTCTCTATCCCTAATCCTGATCTTGTCTCTATCCCTGGCCCTATCCCTAATCCATGCCTCCCATCCATGACCTCAGACCCAACCCTTATACTGGCCATTAAAAAAAATCCTACTTTACTGTCTCGCTTTGCTGGTAGTTAAATTTTAATACAAGAACCTTATACTCTCTAAAACATGTAATGTGATGGTACTGAGTTTTGCTTGTATCCACTTAGACGTGTTAGTTCTCGATGTACACTGATTTGATTTTGTGCTGTGATTTGATTTTGTTTCATTCCATCGGCTCACACTGCCAGTCACACGTGCGTGCCACCGAGAGGCCGACTTTACCAGACGTGGGGAGGGAAGGGTTGTCAGCACCCCCTCCCCCCCCCCTCCACCCACAACCATCATCAGTTTGTCGTTCATATTTTTCATCGAATTAGTCACATGACCAGATGATTTTTAAAAAAATGTGCATTGCATCAAGTTTGAGAAATGAAGCAAAAGTATAATAAAACTAAGACTTCGTTGTTGTCTTTCTTTAATGTTGTTTTATTGATTTGTTGTACGGCGTTTACGTAAGTGAGATGATCTAACAGGTGTAGTGAAAGCTACTTAATCTGTTACACGCACAAGGATTCCCGTCACTCAATGCTGCGATCTCAGAAGAAAGAAAATTCAAAGAAACAAAAGCGACCAATTGTGTGTTTTTAGATTAGTAAAAGCGTTTTTTTTTAATAAAACCAAACCTATCGCTATTGTGCTCAAATAACGTGATGCATCAGATAAAAAATAGAAACTGAGTGAGGGTGAGGTAGGACACCCCTCGCCGGGGGTCGCGGTGAGCTCGTGGGAACCACCGGCTAAACGAATGCAGGGATGTCTCGTTTTCTCCATCGATTGTAGTAGCCTACCGTATCCCTAGTGTAGGGCGCTCTTTGAAACGAATATAGGCGAGTTGGTGCTCTTTTGGAAGCCCGCGACGCACATTATCACACGGCGATCTACCCAAGTCCTCTGACGTTAACATGTATATTGAACACGAATGAGCTGCTCTATAACAAAAAAAAACGTGTCAACTTCGAACAAAGCAGAAGATTATCTCCAGCACCTTGTACCTACGCCACTACATAAGCATGTTCTTAAGATTATATTGAACATTCTATGTATAAATTCGATAAAAGTAATTACGTATTCTGCAATTTTATATTTGTAATAACATATTGTAAACGAAATGCGTCTTAAATTCGAGTAAAAAATGGGCCTTTATATTATGTATTTTTTTGTATTATGCAATCATATTATGTATTTCTTGCTGTATAGCCTATATTCTATAATAATATACTAATATATTCTATATTCCACAATCCTATATCGTTTAGTAATCTCTGCCCTAATGTTTTCTATACTGAATAATCAATATTCTGTAATTCTAAATTGTGTATAAATTAATCATACAATCTCTAAAATTAATCATATTTGTGATCACAATTAAAATAATTTAATTTTCAATTTTTAAGACAGAAGATACATTTTTATAATATTAATGAATATTTGCTCTGTAAAATGAATGGTTGTTTAATTTTTGTTATATTAATTTTTTAAATCGATTAATTAATCGAAATAGTTTTATTCCGTTAGCTAGTTTGTACAGTGTATAACTATAATTAGAGTCTCATCGACAGAATCAAATGAGAAAAAATGTATAGCCTTATTCTATACCGACACTGTCGATGAGCGACTCAACGACAGTGTCGATAAGAATAGTGTAGGATCGGCTGCGTACGTCTAGGGAGTGTAAACTTATCGTGTGAATGAGAATGTGCTAAGACCAGAGGCGTAGCGAGGGGGGGGGGGGGCGGGGGTGCGGACCGCACCGGGTGACACCATTTAGAAAGGTGACACCAAGGCAAAAAATAGTAAAATATATAGAAAAAAATTTGAGGGGGGGGGGGTGCAATTCGAAAGTTTGAGGGGGCGGGGTGCAAATCAAAAGTTCGACGGGGGGGGGGGGGGTGGTTACAAATCGAATATTGAATGTTTGTCCCTGGGAAGAGTCGCTACGCCTCTAATGGGGTGACACCATTAAGTGCCGCAACGGGTGACACCCGACCTCGCTACGCCACTGGCTAAGACTATCTAAAATTGTTCTTTATTGAAAGAGTTATCGCGCTGGGACGATGTGTACACTTCCTCTCGATTTTAAAGGCTTTTTCACCCACCATTTTTCATAAAGAGTCAGAGATTTGCAGGGAGTCATAATTTTTTTTTATTGAAGAATCTGTAGTCCGAAGTTTTTACTGTCATTTGTGGCTGTCTAGCTATCAAACTTTATACGGGTTCGGGTAAATTCGGCTAATCAAAGTGTCGTCATTTTATTTCTTATACTCAACTTTACGCTGCATGTGTTTCCATAACAAACGGCATCTCCCCCTTTTTTGAGTTTGCGCTGATCGTTAGCCCTACACACCTGTCCAAGCGAGCACATTATACACGCGTTGATATTTAAAAACCTTATTGTAACGTGGTTATTTTAAGTCTTTTAACTGGAAAAAAATTGACCAAATCTACATCATCTTAAGCTTTGACACGAAATAATGATGTAGGCCTACTATGATATGGTTGCAATTGTTAAAAATAAACTTGAATACCATGAATTGTTTTAAAAAAATGTCGCCTTCACTGCCCCATCCATCCCCTCCCGCTTGTAAAAAAAAAAAAATCGATTAATTTTTTTAGGCGGGTGGTATACAGCTACATTTCTGATAAATTTGAGAACTGCTGATTTATTGTATAATCTACATTTTATGTGAATATTCAAATTTATTTTTTGAAATTATTAAATGTAAGTATTTTGTGGTTTAATTCCACATGTGGACCTCTACATTGACCCAACCCCCCCCCATTCCCCCCAGTCCACACGCGTCCACCAAAGTCAATTTTTTTCGGAACCCCACCCCCCTCCTTCCACCCCAGTGTGGGTATCATAAATAGATATATACCTCCAACAAGAAATTTTTACTGGGTTTTTATAAAGAAAGATAAATCTTCAAACTTTTATGGCCGATACCTATTTAATGGTTTTCTCCCTTAGACCGTTTCGGGGCAATGAAACAAGAAATTCCTTTACTCAACTGGGTTGAATAAAGAAAGATAACTCCTCAAATTTGCGAGGCCGATACATATTTAAGGATTGTTTCCCTTAGACCGGTTCAGAGCACAGTAATAAGAAAATGCAATTATAAAAAAGTTAATTTCACTCTTTTGTATTAGTTTTCCAGTGGTTATTTTGAAGGACAAAAGAAAACTTATATGTAACAATAAGTTGACGTTTACACAAAATAATTTATTTTGGGAACGGACGAAATACTTATAGGGGCTTCTGAATCTTTGTGTTGATCTCCAACAATGGATGCATGTAATTACAAATCGACAAATAAACATTGACGTTTTAAGAACATCCGTTTAGAAATATATAATTTATGCATTCTAATAGATACAATTTTAAAACTATTTGGACATTTAAACAATGCTTTCCTACTATACGGATAGCTTTCCCTGCTACGCGGAAGCTGTCAAATGTTTTACAAAGAACTGTTTCGAGATTTTCTATGAGATTGTTAATATTCATCAAGGCTTGTCATAATTTGGAAAATTCTCCAGATAAACCACTTATTTTTAATTTGTAAAGTATGTAATTTTTTAAGTTATTTATGCTCAATATAGTAAGTTTTTAAATGTAAATAAATACACATAATGATCTAGTAACTATTGTCTGTAGCGAAAATGAGCTTGAAGTTTATAATGTTAAAAATATAAGCTCAATCTTTACCCCTCCCCCCCCCTCCAAAAAGGAATAGTGATAAATGAAAACTTTTAAAACGGTTCCACATTCAGAAAATTACTGTCAGATTTTTTTTTAGAAAACTATATTTATATTTTGCTAAATAACTATTCACAACAATCATATTAAGAACAAAGTTTCGAGAATGACTTGTTTCTTGTAGACTTGAATAGATCAATTTAATCGCTCAGCCCTGCATTTATGCATGAACATGAGAAACACTTGTTCTACTGAGGTTTGCTGAATTGTGTAGTGCTCTAGGCCAATATCATTTTTAGCCGTCTCCATCTTGTCAAACAGGACAGACAGGGGAACGATTCCAGCTGGCACTTGGATGTGGAGGTACAGGTCCATGTGATCGAATATATGCATATATGGATATATATATTCATACATACATATATATATATATATATATATATATATATATATATATATATATATATATATATATATATATATATATATATATATATATATATATATATATGTATATATGGATATATATATGCATACATATATATATATATATATATATATATATATATATATATATATATATATATATATATATATATATATATATATATATATATATGCTTGCGTGCCCGTCCCCCGCGCTTTGCTGCGGTCTCAGAGAAAAAATGGCTGATGCGATATTTTAAAAGGATTTCATCAATCATGTGTTACCGATCCTGTATTTTTATTAGACGCTGAACTTCTTTTCTACAACTAAGTTATTTTAATGTAAACGAAGCAGGCACTGTTTTTTTATCCTTTTTTGTTTGGCCGCGGATTTGTCCACACTACCGCCCAGACACCCCAAGGCGTGCTGTTTAAAAACTTTGAGTGTACGTTAGTTGCCCTCCGTAAGAATAAGGTAGATCAGACCTCGGCGACAACTCAGGTGTCATGGCGCCGGGTACGCTCATGACTCGCTTTAATCATCGAACGTCATGTGCTTGCATGTCAGTATTGTAGAGTGCTATTTTAAACGCTTACGGGGGGGGGGGGGGGAACGGGGCACCGAATCGCCCCCTGCAAGAGCGCCGGAGGACGCGCCTGATTCGATAACATCAACCATTAATGTTGCCTTTTGTGTCCTTAGAATAAAGCTCTTTTTTTAAAAACAAACGTAGATGCCATAGTGCTCACCGGGGAGCCAAGGGCGCTTTGGGTCACTCTATCGCTGGGGCGACGGCGGATGGAGCAGTTTTACTAATGAATCAAGATATGTCCCTTACCAGCTAAGTGCTAAGATAGCCGCTCTGGAACTCTATATTAAGAAAACTCTCACATTCCCGGGGCGGCGCCCCTAAAAATATTTTTTTTCCGCATTAACCTCCCGAAAAGTATTTTTAACTCCCCATAGTTTCATGGCACTCGGATGAACGGTATCAAACGGCATCCTACTTTTATTTATATATATTCTGTTACGGGCTAGAATAGTGTGGGAGGTGTGTGTGTGTGAGTTGAGTTAACCTCGGGGTGTTTATGTATTGTTATCCCATGGTCGAGTCGGGTATAAAAGCTGGAATGAACGATTGTAAAGGGTTTTTAGTTAGTAGCGGCTAGGGACGATGGCTGATGTGTAATGTGTAAAGATGAGAAAAAATAAAGTATTAAACATTTTCTTGGATCGTTTTCTGCATTAAATAAAACCCAGAGGTAATATATACCGTATATAAAGAACAATCGCATCGCACCTTCTTGGGCGCCGCCCTTGCGAAGTTTAAAACTAATAATAGGTATTTGAAGTTGCTGAAGTGTACCGAGTTGTAATTGAAAATACTTAAACAATTTTACACGATTGTTGCTTGGAATTTAATTTATAAAAATACTGCCGTGGTAATCTTGGGAAGATACATTGAATGACAAAGAGAAGTAATATTTCATGCAATATGAGTATTGAATTCCCGAGTTCGAGCTCACGTGTAAATTTAGCGTGAAAGCTGGTGACAGCAAACCATATGGGAGCGAAAAGTACATTAACATATCCCCTGCTAGTTGTAGTATGTTCCTGGACGTACACAGGCTATGGAGGCAAATCCAGAAAGAAAAAGCAGGTTAAAATGGGAAACAACAGATAATGTGGAGAAAAATATTTTGATACGTAATTATGTTGGAGGAAATCCTCTTTAACCTTACAGTTAAGAAGCACAAGAGGAAGAAGCGTCTTAAAAAAAAAAACAACGAAAAAAATCAGAAATATTTTTGTAAAATAACTAAAACGTAAAGCAATAAAAGAATATGTATAAAAACAATGCTCAGACATTTTGTCTTGTGTAGCGAAGGGTGTTCACTAACCATAGCTTTCTGCAACGCTGACTTCCATCGATTTGTCTACAGTGGCCTTTTATTAAGAAAATCGGGGTAGGCAATCAATACAGTGTCGTTGTATTGTCCTATGCTCGTATCGCACTGGGTAAGTGTATCGATACCAGTTTCGATACGCACTACGGCTGTTAAAATATCTTCAGACGATTACACATCACCTGTGTAACACATTGACGGTCCTATAATGCAGTGCCTGATTGACACAATCATTCATTCACGCGGACAAACACACAATAATTCACATGGACAAACATACAATCATTCACATGGACACATATGTTACGGCCAAAAAAAAAATGATTAACGCAAAATGATAAAAAAAATTGTGTAGGCCTACTACTAAAATCTTACAGATATCTTATTTTTCAAACACGAGGATTTCCTACATGAATACGCTATTAGGGACCATCACAGGTATTACTCTTTGGCATTCTGTCTTGTTTTTTAACAATATCCCATTTTTCACACTTGTCCATATTCAATTCTTTTGTACACAAAATTATACAGTGTGATGTGAAAACTTTTCCGTTTATAGCTCTATTTCTATCGCTGTCTTTGGTTTGGAATGGTAATGTTGGGTGAAACGAAAAACAAATGGGCAAATAAACTGATCAGGCTGTTGAAGTTACGGGGATTGACCAATTGAGAAATTGCATTAGGGGCTAAAAACTGCTGGTTGATTCATTTGGTTCACAATCCATATGAAGATCACTCGGGATAAACCACAGTTTTCCACTTATTGAAATTTTTGAGTTACCACCATATTCATGTAGTACTAGTGTATATCTATCAGGTATAGTAATACGAAAGCGTACAACCACCTCGATACCCTCAACGTTTAGGATTTTAAAATCATGTCACAATGCTACAGCTAAGGATTTCAAACACAAAATCTCATTGTTCACAACAGTAGAAAACTATGACAAAATTTGGTTTATCACTTGTGGTCTACATATGTTTTACCATTATTATCTTGAAAGATGGGTAAACGATGCAGATAATGTTCTTCTTCAACAGACATTAATGTATGTTAAGAGATTCTATTTAGGGATTTAGAAACGGTTGTTATTAGGCATAACGTAGCCTATATGTCTCATTCACCGGAGTTCCAAAAGTTGAACTGGGTACACGATGGTCTAGAAAACAAACCCATTTTGACCGTAACCCTGTTTAGTAGGAACTTATGATCGGTAAATGCAATACCCCACCAGATGATATAGCTATTTTACTTTATTGTGTGTACGTCCGTTTAATACAATATGGACTTCCTGCGTGGTTCATTATATTCTAGAAAAAATCGATCAGTTATGTAGACTAGAACAACGGTAAATCAATACATTAAATAATAATTGGGTCTAGTTCTTAATGTGTTGAGTTTGCTTCAAGGTATCCAAATGTCACGTATATTTTTAAGTATGTAAGTTCATCTATTTTACTATTGTCTTGTAATGGATTTTAATTTTCAATCATATCATTTGTTTTCATACTAAATACTTAGCATTTACACTGAATATAAAACAATAATAAGAATTGATATAGTACAATACCTGCTCGAACTAAAATAAGCTAAAATAACCTAAAATAACCTAAAATAACCTAAAAAAACCTAACCTAACTTAACTTGACCTGACCTGACCTGACCTGACCTGACCTGACCTGACCTAACCTAACCTAACCTAACCTAACCTAACCTAACCTAACCTAGCCCAGCCTAGCCTAACCTAACCGAACCGAACCGAACCTAACCTAACCTAACCTAACCTAACCTAACCTAACCTAACCTAACCTAACCTAACCTACCTAACGTAACCTAACCTAACCTAACCTAACCTAACCTAACCTAACCTAACCTAACCTAACCTAACCTAACCTAACCTAACCTAACCTAACTTAACCTAACCTAACCTAACCTAACCTAACCTCATCTCATCTCATCTCAACTCACCTAACCTGACCTAACCTGACCTAACCTGACCTAACCTGACCTGACCTGATCTAGTCAAGTAGAATGTACCTTTAAATTGTAAATAAAAATAACGAATCCATAAGAAAACACTGAACAAAGAAACAGTTATGGTGTCTCTTTTTCAAATTAAAAATAAATTCATTCAAACAGTACAACATTAAAATAGTAATACAATAATATAAAAAATATGTTCTATCTTTAAAAAAAATACTTAAAACATATAGAAAATTTACGACTATTCTTTTCATTTCAGCTGGTATAGATGAATATTCCAGCTAATGATGTCTTACCTACTCCACTACAGTGTGTCAGAGCTCTAAACCACATCCCAGAGTGGAATATTAAACTGAAAGATAGAAAGTCAAGAGCATTAGAGTGGATTACTATTTTAGTAACAGACGATTTGTATTTGATTCTATCACCGCCGTACACGGAATGGAAGATACATTAGGCTCATGAAGCAGAGCAGACAAATCACTGAAACTCTAGCATGAGCCGATTTATTAAAATAATAGAATCATTCTTGAGATGGTGGATTGAAGATATGACTAAAGACAAAACTATAGTTGTGTGAATAGTAATTGCTTTGTGTTAATCATCTTTGTTTGAAACACAACGCCAATCAATTTATATAGTATGCTTATATTTTTTTTAGAAACTTGAAATATTAAGCTTTATTTTTACGAACAAGAAAATTATTAATTTTAATTTTAAATTGATATTGAAAAATATTCATTTTGTATGTAATCAAATGCCAAACTCCATAGAACAAACCAAAATAGTTATTACATTTTTGAGTAATGTAAATACGTGAGTAGCATACAAAATATATTTCTTTTTCTGGGACTAGGTTAAATAAATCAAAATAAGGAGAAACCAAATCACAGTCTGTTAATTTTTTCTGTTATGGACAATGGCTGAACCTTCTGAAAAAGCCAAAAAAGCCACTGAAGTATACCAAAAGGGCTCAGAGAGTACAAATACAAATGGTGTTGGTCATAGAGGAGCTGTTCTAGATGGGAAAAACACTTTGATGTGGGCCGCCGAACGCGGAGATTTCAAAACTGCCGAGCTTTATATTCGATTTGGGAACGAAGTAAAAGCAGTAGATGTCAATGGAAGCAATGCTTTAATGTACGCGTCTAGCAATGGACGCGATAAAATTGTACAACTTTTAATTACAAGTGGGATCGACTTAAACGCTGTTGATAATGCTGGAAACACCGCTTTAATGAACGCTTCTCTCAATGGGTACAACACAATTGTGGAACAACTAATTCAAAGTGGGAGCGATGTTAATCGTGTTAACAAATATGGCATAAACGCGTTAATGTACGCTTCTGAAAGTGGGCATGCTAAAACTGTGAAGCTGTTGATTAAAAATGGGTCCGGTGTTTCACATGTTAACAAATATGGGGTGGATGCTTTAACGTCAGCTGCTAGAAATGGACATGATCAAGTTGTGGAAATTTTAATAAGAAATGGGAGTGACTTTAAAGCTGCTGATAAAGATGGATGGAATGCGTTGATGCACGCTGCTTATAAAGGTCATCATGCATGTGTGAATCTGTTAATTAAAAGTGGTAGTGATGTTCATGCCGTTAACAAAAACGGATTAAACGCATTAATGCTTGCGGCTGGAAATGGGCATGAAGAAACTGTTGATATTTTAATTAAAAGTGGGAGCAATGCAAATGCTGTCAACAATAATGGAATCAACGCATTAATGTACGCTTCTCTAAAAGGGCACGATAATATAGTACATATATTAATAAAAAGTGGGAGTACTGTTAAGGCTGTTGATAACGAAGGGTGGAATGCCTTAATGTACGCTTCATTAAATGGACATAACACAACTGTAGAGATTTTAATTCAAAGTGGCAGCGACGTGACATCTGTGAACAGCCACGGGTGGAGTGCTTTGATGTTAGCCTCTAAAACTGGACATGAGAAAACTGTCGAGCTCCTAGTGAAGTCTGGATGTGATGTTCTAGCCAAGAACAAAGATGGAGACAATGCCTTAGATATTGCGTCAAACTTTGGACGTGAAAATGTTGTGAAACTTCTAAGCAACCCTCACAAAGAAAAAGAAGGGAATATCCCATCATCTGCATCCGCCAAAAAACGCTACTTACACGAAGAAGACTGTTCTGTAAGTAATATATTTTACTTTTTTATTTTTTATAGTAAACCGAAAGTGATCTCCCCTAAACTTTCTTATATATAACGCGGGGAATTGCAACTCGGGTTATAGACATGATTTTTTAATTCATTGTTAATTACTTAAACTTTTTAAGATAGAATAGAATCTCATAGAAAAATAAATTGCGCACCAAAATGAACGCCAAACAATATGTGTATAATAGAGCGGAATATTATTCGTAGTTTATAAATTCACATGGTTTTTTTAGGAATTGAAAATAGCGTAAATTACTACTTTCGGTCAATGGAAATTACTCAAACTTTGACAGAAGGCAGATAATTAGATCTTTTACTTACTTGTGAAATTTCATTAATTTATATGAAACAGTACTCAAAAAGTTGATACAGAACTACAAATTCGATATAACACTTATATATGAAATTTCATCAAGTTTAATTTTGGAGTTGTCTCTCCTAGAAGAGTTGCTGTCCCCAACTGTCGAGCCTCATCTGCCAGAGGGTTCGAACTTGAGCCTTTTAGTTTAACTTTATCGACTCGACCACGAGTAGTTTACTAATTTTTGGTGTAAAAAGTATCAATTAATTGTTTTTCTTCAAATAGTAAATTGTTGAAAATCCTAAATTAGTTAACAAAAAACTATGTGTGAATCTTTTTACCTCTAAACCAAAAACACGTTACTTATCAGGATTTGCAAGTAAACTCCTCATACATACTTCTTGCTTTTGTTCTTTTAAAATGAGGTCTGGGTGGGGAAGAGTTGGAGCCACGCTTAAAATTTTTATTTACGTCTGGCGATATTTGTACCCTGTTAAATACTCGCCTATTAGCTTTATCTTTGACTTGGCATTCTATAATGACTAAGCAAAGTAAAAAAAAAACCAAGTGATTGCTAATTCGTTCTTTGTAAATGTCTGTAGTTTTGGTAACTACCCATTTGCCTTGTAATGTGAAAATAAACTTATAACTAAACGTAAAATGCAATCAATAGTAATCAATACCTACCCTCCCAGACTCCAACAACACTAACAGCTAATTCTACAAGCTTACATGCATATTTTTGTCCATTTAGATGACACACGAAGACAAAATTGTCAACTCACTTCGGAATGTTTCGCGCAAATTACCGCGACCGAAATCAGCACCCGTGAAGACAAACAACAGACACAAAAATACAGGTAAAACTAACAGTTAATAAAAACAATTTAATGAATTTGTAAATATTAAAACAGTGGACACAAAATACAGGTAAACTTGACAGTTAATTAAAACAATTTAATGAATTAAATATTAAAACAGTGGACACAAAAATACAGGTAAACCTAATAGTTAATTAAAACAATTTAATGAATTTGTAAATATTAATCAACCGGGAGTGATCTCCCCTAAACTTTCTCGAATATTCTTATATAAAACAACAGGGGATGGGAACTCTGGCTATAGACATGATTTTTAATCCATTTTAAATACTTAAAGTTTTAAAAATAGAATAAAATCTCGTAGACAAAAGAATTGCACACCAAGTGAACGCCAAATAAAAAAGTGCACACTAGTGCGCAATATTATTAGTACTTTAAAAATTTACATTAGTTTTTTGAGAAATCGGAAGTAGAATAAATTACTTCTTCCGGTCAATGGAAATTACTCAAAATTTAATTGATGGTAGAGAATTAGATTTTTTACTTACATCTGAAATAGTACTCAAGTTATAGGCTTTTGAAAAATTCAAAGTAGAAAAAGTACCACTTCTGGTTATCGAAAATCGCTCAAAAGTTGATACGGATCTACGATTTTCATAAAATACTTATATATGAAATTTCAGCAACCTAGCTGTAACGGTACTCAAGTTATCGTGTTTACACACGGACAAACACACAGACACACAGACATACGGACAGAATTGCAAAGCCCAGTTTTTCAGACTGGATTTCGCATAAAACCTCTTAATTTTGATAAATCTGGATTGATAATTTTTGCCCGATTAAAATAAGTCCTCTATACTTCGGATGTGATGAAGGACTGAGGTGTAATACGGTGAAAATTGTTAAAATTTCAAGTGATTTTTGTGCACGATTACAAGACTTTCTCTATACTTCGTATATACGAGAAAGTAAAAAAGTGGACACAAAATACAGGTAAACTTGACAGTTAATTAAAACAATTTAATGAATTAAATATTAAAACAGAGGACACAAAAATACAGGTAAACCTGACAGTTAATTAAAACAATTTAATGAATTAAATATTAAAACAATGGACATAAAAATACAGGTAAGCCTGTCAGCTAATTAAAACAATTTAATGAATTAAATATTAAAACAGTGGACATAAAAATACAGGTAAACCTGTCACTTAATTAAAACAATTTAATGAATTAAATATTAAAGCAGTGGACAAAAAAATACAGGTAAACCTGACAGTTAATTAAAACAATTTAATGAATTTGTAAATATTAAAACAGTGGGAATATGTTAACTAATCAATACGGACTAAAGATTGCCAAATACTGTTGCACTAAATTATAGGCTACTTATTCTGACTTTAGACAATAGACATATGTAACTTAACAACTGAGCTTTATTACCACACACGGCGTAGACCTACATAAACTTTAATTATGTGAAGATACTTAATTTTAAATCAACCATACTGGGGGGTCATAGCGCTGACCACAGTATCCCTTCATAGGCAAAGGTCACTGACACTGATAAAATCTACCTTACCATGGTCCCTCATTTCTTAACTTTATACTCAAGGAGAAGAGTGTAATCTCACTACATAATGAACTTGTTAGTCATCCCCCGATTATTAAATGCAAGCAATCAATCATTAAATGTGTCTGAAGGTTTACAACACAACATATTCTTGCTACAGTTGGGGTGTAGTGGGAGTAGAGTAAATATAACTTTACCCATTTAATCAGTTATTTAATTTAAAATGACGCCTTTTACAAACATAAAGTATTATTCTAGATAATTTTTCTAGCCTTTTTTTAATCTTCTCTTGTACTTTTCCTAAAACAATCTCCAACCTTTGTTTGAGTAACTAGCTTTTACTTAAAATATTTTCGGAGCTGTTTAGATCAGGTAAGTTATTCCGAAGTTTACAATTAGTTATTTTTTCACATATTTTTTTACTCTTTTCAGTGACCGACCAAACTGAACCTTTACGTGGAAAGCTGTTAGATAAACACGAAGCCGTACTTCGAAAACATTTTCCCTATTTGATTGAAGAAATAGACGCCAAGTATTTAACAGATGATCTGTATTCTAAAAACATCATCAGTAGGGATGACAGACTGTCAGTTACATCCTTACAAACACCTAACGATCGGACTAGAGCTCTGCTGGATATAATTCTCCATGCAGGACCAAGACGGGCGTTTCCAGAGTTTATAAATTCTCTTAAGAAACATTATCCACATATAGCATCAAAACTGGGGCAGTATTTATGACAAATCGTTGAACAAATATATTTTGTTATATGTTTATATACTAAAACATTGACATAATGATATTTCATTGGTTTTACCTATAGCCTACTTGTTTATAGAAAACCATATTTGTTAGTTAATTTTTAATGAGATGAGTATTGTCCCTTGCTCCACTACTATGATGATACACAATCATAAAGGTAAATGGATGCTGTCTGGTACTTTGATCAATTTGCTATTTTGTACAAGTTTAATTAACACGTGTACAGTGGTTTAGTTTCCACAGTGGTTATCTACTTATGTGGTCGACTTATGCGGGAATCAATGAATTTATAAAGTCGGCTGTTGAAAAAGGCAACTTTACCACAAATTTAAAAAGCAATTTACAATGTAACGTATTACTTTGCTAGTTTCACTAAATGCACATTTTAAAGGGTTTTTTTTGTAACTTCCACTAAGTGCCTTTACTTTTTTTTAATGTAGATGCGTATTAATTTCAATAGTATTTTTCATCCATCACATTCTACATTTGTCAAATCATTAAAACGCAGAGCATACATCAGTGTTTCTTTCAGACTTTTTTCTGCGGTGAGGAGGCACTTGATATTTTCGGGGGGGGGGGGGGGGGACGGGGGACACACAAGTAAAAATATATAAATTACATTTAGTTCCGGGTCGACATTTCATAAGAGATGCCTGGAAGAAACTGTGGCCTACATACAACCCAAAAAAGATAGGAATAAATTTACATTTTCTAAAACTGTATTGTTACATTTTCTGCTGCTTTAATTAAAGTTACTTAATAAACCAATGTAGATTTCTGTTACTCATAGTTTTATTAAAGTAAAATATATTGATACAAATTGATAATGTGACCTGGATATTATCTGTGACTGCAATACAACTTCGTACTCTACAGATTTTGCCTGCTAGCGCAGACTCGAATACAATTCTTATGATAAATCTTTTCCTAATCAACCGTAGTGTGTAAAATACCTTGCCAATAGTCTTTTTAATTTGATGAATTTAAACAAATCTATAAAATAAAGTAAGGTTTAAATAGCGAAAAACACCGATGTAGGGGAAGTAATTATCAATATACTGAATGTATCATTTAAGCACAGTGCTTGTACCAGTTTTATTGATTACCTTTACAACTTAACAAATACGTCACATATTATTGTAAAATTAAATCCTTAGAAAAATGCATAAAACGTTTTAATTGCAAGCTTCTATGTAATAACGCATTAAAAGGAGAAAATATTTGATTTTCTTTAATATATAATAACACTACTATTTAAATAACTTTAAAGAAAAGCGTGGGTCATTTATTAACTATTTATTACCTTTAATAAAGTTTAAGAAGCGACCCACGCTTTCCTTTGCAGTTATTTAAATAGTAATGTATTATTATATATTTAAAGAAAATCATTTATTTCTCTGTGTTTGGGGCATTTTTTTAAAAAAAGCTTGTAATTAACACGTTTTATGAGAAATATAATATACTTTTAATTTTGCCGAAAAGATCTAGAACTTTGAGCACGTATAGCTGTTGTGTGTAGGGAGGGGTGTGTCTGGGGGTTGGGCAGTGGACGCTATTTTTATACGCCCTTATTAATATTTGTATGTCCTGAATTCCAATCTCCTAGCTGGTGGGTTATGTATTTGAAAGAGATAACGCGGTGTCCTGTATCGATTTATTTTAGTGCACCAACCTACCAGCGTGGTGACACAGTATTCAAGTCGTTTATGTCGTCAGAAGGTTGATCGGTTAATCCTATCTTATCTATTAGAAACGTAAACCACGCGATCTTTCATGTAACATTAACACCTCATCTTGTGACTTAGCTCGCAGAATGGAGTAGTAAACACGAACCATTAATCCCGTTTGTATAAAGGTTAAAAACGTTGAGGCCAAACTGGCAATAGTAGGCCTATAACGATAATAACAAATCAAAGCCTGGCTTTATAGACATTCGCTGAAATACATTTGTATGTAATGCTATAGAACTTGTAAGTTTATCGTTCTTTCTCGCGTTAATTCGTGTCTGGTTAGCCAGGGAGAGATAAAAGTTTTCGAACTAAATCAATTGTTGTGAACGGGGTTTCCCATTGATAACAAAAAACATGGCGGCTATTTGTAACTTAGTAGGTCCCGCTTCAAGATTTCAAAATCATCAAACGTTCCAGAAATGCAACAACTGTAAAAACTTTCAACGCTGTTTTGTTCATATGGATGGGAACAAACACATGTGAATGCATTTTTGAATATAAAAGTTTTGTGTCGGTAAGTATATTGATTTTATTTCTTTTGTTGATAGTTTGTCCAAGGCTAGGGGACATTACTCTGACTCTACTCAGTCTTTGCTACGAGACTTAAGATTCCCAGACCTAGATCTAGATCTAGATTCTAGAATCTACCAACTAAGATCTACATTGCTTTAATCTAGTTCTAAGAGTATAAGTTCATGAATTAGAATATATTAGATCTAGATTCTAGATCTAGTATTTTAGTGATCTAGATAAAATATTAAAAATATTAAGAAAAGGATGACGGTAAAAACTAAAACAACAGGGAAATGAGGATGACTTCCGTCTTCCAGTCTCACTCACTCACTCAGCCTACGACTTACTTATTAATCGAATCTAGATTCTAGATCTAGATATCTAGAACTTAGACAACAATGTTAATGTTAATAGACCTAGATCTAGATCTAGCTAGATTACTGAACTAGTTACTAGACTCTAGTACTGATTACTCAGTGATTACTGTTTAATATTTTAGAAGTAGGCCTATTAATTAGTTATTAGAAGTAGCATGTAGATAGATGGCTAGATAGATAGTATTACTAGATCTAGATAGAGATAGTAGAATAGATCTAGATCTAGATTCTAGTTGCAGATGGTAGTATGGTTGGTAGGCCCTAGATCTAAAATCTAGATCTAGAGAATCTAGTAGATCTAGATAGATTCTAGATCTAGATTAGATCTAGTTTAGGTAAAACCTACCCTAGTTAAGTTTAGTAAGAGCTAGTAATGCCTAGTAAGGCTAACCTGTTTTTAATTTTAAATCAATTTTTTTATATCTAGAATCTAGACTAGATCTACTCCTAGCTATTTACTAGATCTAGATCAGTCAGTAGCCAGTAGAGTGATTAGAGTAGTAGTAGAGTGTAGTGTAGAGTACTGTAGACTATTGTAGAGTGTAGATACTAATAACTAGACTGAAACTAAATTAGACTAGAATCTAGGTCTAGATACATTTAGGGCTTACAGACTTATCAGACTACAGTGTTGCAATGAGTAGATCTAGTAATATATAGATTAAATTTAGTTTGAAATTGTTACAGTAGTGCTACTACTTTTCTAAGTAGTAAGTAGTGTAGACTACTAGAAGAGCAAGATGATAGATCTCCATCAAGCTACAATAGAGTTTAGTTAGTAGTTAGTTAGCCGTAGTAATAGTACCAAAAGCAGTGTAAGTAGCACAGTAAAAAAAAAAGTATTACTAGGCCATCTACTATTGTATTAGGCCCTTTTATTTTTAGCAAGTTAAAGTTTGGTTAAGTACTAGTCTTCTAGCAAGTTGCCTAGTAGTAAACTTTAAACTAGATCATGCGTATTAGTACTATTAGACTTGTAGGCTAGTCTTGTTAGTCTAGACCAGGGACTATAAAATCTACAATTGATAACTTTCGGCCTTTTAGTATAAGCCTAATTATTAATGAATTACAGGTTACAAAAATTAATAAATTGGTCAGAGTCAGTATGGTTACAGTTAGCTGTTAATAGAATTAAGTTTTAGATCTATTGACTACAATTTTTAGTTACAAGTAATGAAAATGAAACTAATAGTTTTGTAATAGTTAAGATATGGTTAACTGTAAACCAGATATTTTAGTTTTTAAGACAAGCTAAGTAGATAGAAAACTGAACCTTTACAATAAATTAAACCTTTTATAAATATAAATATATATATATATATATATATATATATATATATATATATATATATATATATATATATATATATATATATATATTAATATCTCATATTAGTTAAATAATTATTTTAATATAATATATGGATAAACTTAATAATTTATTATATTTAAATTCCCTAGGTACTTGGCAAGCAATTTTCTCACACTTTACTGTGGCTATTGGTGCTGATCTTTAGCTAAAGGTGAGCTGAATTTTTTTTTTATAATAAGCCATTTTTCAGCTTAAGCCCAAGTTTGAAATCGATTCAGTGTTCTAATTCTTAAAGAATATGTTGCTACTAAGATTATATACTGTAAGTATTAATATGTATGGCTTGATAGTGGGACTGTCAGACAGTAGCTTTCACATTTCTATCCTAAAAGATAAGAGTTCAGATCCCTGGTTTTAGTCCTGGTATGATGTCTTAAGTCTCATGAGTACCAGCTCTCATGAGTACCTGGCTCAAGATAGGGAAATTAAAGGTGGCTGGGTATATACCTCTGAACACTCTAATTTTACATGCAAATGTCACAGAAACAGGTGAATTTTAATTCATCTGCTATATTGGCTGTCTGTTTTAATCAATGATTAATTTTTTCATATTACAGAAAGTTGTTAAAAATATTATTTATTTAATTTCTAGGTAAATGGAACAGCATGGATGTGGATTTTTAGACACAAGGAAGCTGAATTTAACTTTTAATGAAGAATTTAAATGATGATTGTCCATGAAAAGAAATATTAATCATATACATTGTAATGCTGTATTGATGCATCTTCTGTTTTAATTAATTAAAAAACCATCCATTTATGAAATTCTTTTCATTTTTTTTTTCAATTTTAAAACTGTAGTTCTGTTTTGTTATTTGAAAACAATGATGAAAGTATACTGAACTGCCATTGAGATATTAATATAAATGCTATTGTTTATAGTTTAATTCTTTCAGAAGCAACTATATTGACATCAAAATTGAATCTTTATTGTACACTAAGTATAAAAGCTTACCCGCAAACCAGTCCATGTCAACAATTTATTG